ACCCTTCCTTCACCCACTTGTGCCGGGGACCGTCATGCTGCACCGTTGCAATTATCCACTAATTGGGTTCAAATTCCCAAGATGAGGTCTGTTGTTGCGGCCTTACAGATTTTTGACGTCAACTAATCTTGAAATAGTCATTGCAGGGTGGCTGGCCAATTTAGCAAAAAAGTTCCCCGTATTTAATATTGATTTTCTGTTTTAAATTCAACAAAAAATCCACTAGCCATGAATTCATTTGTAAAAGTAACTTGTGAGCATCTACCTAATGTTTACATGAGATAGTTTGAACCCAGATTCACACTCCTTGTTGAGACACAAGGAATTTGAACCCTAGCGTTGGCTTAATCAGCGTCACTCTTGACGAATGGGGGCGTCAGTGCCAGCATTACTACACTTCTTGCCGAGATTGAGGACAGATAAGCCCTGCGCGGACCTTAATCAGTGTCCTTTCTGACTTATTAAACAGTCAGTAACAATACCAGCAAATACTATCACGCCCTAGTAATTAGTATTAGAAGTGGCACTATTGGTAATAGCAGTACCACTCCTGGCTTACTAGTCTGGCCAGACATCTACTATAGGTGAGTGAGGGTAGACAGTGCAGTATTACCTGCGCAAACTCTACTGTCACTAAAGGTAAAGTGTTGGCTGCATCTGGAGCAAGCGGCATACGCCTGATCCCCGGCACGGTCATCTCGACTTTGTCTTGTCACCGTTCTCACACGGGGTGAAGGTTTAGAGTGAGGTAGAGATGGCAGCCACTCTACTTTCACTATACCTGGCCGTAGTCACTGTCCCTGCTTTCGGACAAATGGTAGAAATCATCGATAACGGTAGTCAAACTAACACAAGACACGCAGTAGATGAACGGCATGATACGCGCCCACACCCGCCGAATTTCAGTAGGCAGACCCGGTAACCACCAAGGGCGTATGATGGGCGCATCTCCGACACTCGGTGATGTTCTCGTGACCACCGCGAGCTTCTCCTCGTGTGACCATTAGGATATCGAACAACCGCGATGGCCTTCC